AATCAGGTTCACCATCAATGGCCATTCATACGTCAATCTTGTCCTCATAACCAACGTCGGAGGTGCTGGTGATGTGCATGTTGTCTCCATCAAGGGGTCAAGGATTGGGTGGCAACCAATGTCAAGGAACTGGGACAGAATTGGCATAGCAACAATTACCTCAATGGATAGAGCATGTCTTTCAAGGTCACCACTAGTGATGGGCGTAGCGTAGTCTCCTACAATGTTGCCCCTGTTGGTTGGTCCTTCGGCCAAACCTTCAGTGGAGGGTAGTTCCACTAGAGAGACCATCCCTGACCCCTACTGCTGATGCTCGGGTTGGCTGAGGACAACAAAGTAATTTCGCCCTTGAACTCTAAAGGTGGGTTGAAGGCTTCGAGGGCTCGGGGACGAGGTGTTAAAGTCGAGGGCTGTAGGCCGAGGCTGATGGCGTACCAAGTTTCGTAGGAGCCGAGGCTTGGTAGCTGAGGTGCTGCAAGGCAGAGGATGTCAGAGGCCTCGGGTAAGAAACCAAGGCGGAGACTCCGACGATCAAGTTAGTATGAGGGCACGAAGAGAGGAGTTAAGCACAACGAGGGCTCTGAGGAGGCTGCTCGTAGGTATTGAATTCCCAAAGTGAGGACACTCAAATTCTATAGTAGGATCAATTTTCAGGATCAAGATCCCTCACCTAGAGGGGGGGTACCCCCTATTTATAATTGAGGCGCCTGGAGGTTGGTGGAGATGAATGCCTGAGATGGTAGCCATACGGGGGCAAGTCAGCGAGGACGTGTGGGCGCTCCGCGATTGGCTCCTTACGAGGGGTGCAGGGTAGCCCTTGCTGTGGCTAGTCGCGTCCTTTGTTGTGGCATTCGTGGGCTGATCCTCCCAACCTAGAATGGGCTAGGCTGGGCCACCCTACATCACTTGCCCGCCACTCTCGAGGCCGAGGTGAAGAATTTGGATTCGGCTGATTGGAGTAATAATGGTGAGCGCTAGTGGGTTCGGCAGCCGAGGTGTACCCTGTAGTGGCACTCTCTTTTGCGTCTTCGCTTGGTTCATCTTCATAAGTTGGGCCAAAGTTGCGAGCGACCTGCGGCATTGCTGCTTTGGACAAGCGATCGGGGGCCGTATTCTGTACAGGTCTATGCGTTGAGAGAAAACCCCGTGCGTGGAACAGCTTTCCGGTCAAACCAGAGTGCGCATTCATGCGATTGAGTCACATAAACTGGTGGGTCACAAAGGGCGGATGCGCTGGTTTGCCTCGAGCGTCGTTTCGCCTTCCGAGGATGAGCGCTCAGGGATGCGGCGCGGCTAGATCGCAGGTGCGGAGGCATTTTGCGTCCATTAGATCTAAGATGATCTGAGCCATCGCTAGTGCATTGTTTTGCCTTCCGAGGCTGAACGTTACGCGGCATGCTGCAATTGGGTTGTGGAGGTGGTGGCTCCTCAGCCGTTGGATCTCGAGATATCTGGGTTGTTCGTTCTCCTTTAAATAGGGGCCTTGATGGCAACGTTCTTGTTGTTTGCCTCTAAGTGCCTTTGCTTTCAAGTGAACTTAGCTCCTAGATTCTCCAATCTTTGACACTTCGTTTTCACTTCTTCTTCCTCCACATCCCTTTAGGTAATCTCAAATGATGTCTTTCTTAGATTTTGGACCTGAGTGCTATAATCTTCCGAATGAGTCGAAGGGGATCCACACCTGAACCCCTTCTCCCCTTTCTCCTTTGAGTCCTTCTGCCCTTGCTCCCCTTTCTCCTTTGAATCCTTCTGCCCTTGCTCCCCTTCGACAAGAGGTTGAGGTGCTTCGGGAGAGGGTAGCCTCCAAGAGTGCCGAAGGCAGCCGTCGAGGTGATGAACCGCATCCGTGACACCGAGGGAGGCCAAGGGGTCCCCCCAAGTTGAGGGGGAGGAGACCCCAACCCTTGTTTTCGGGATGAGGGCTGCCCAGGTAGTAGCCGAGACCGATATCCTTCGCCTAGGATTAGAGAATTCTCTAGATGGGGATCAGGTCAAGGCTCTGGCGAGGTAGTACTTCATCCCCTCGTCCTATGGTATGAGGGTACCCGAGGTGGGAGACCGGCCGTGGACTCCTAAGGAGGGGGAGATCTGCATTTACTAACACTTTCTTCGGTTCGGTCTTCGGTTCCCCCTTCATCCGCTGATCTTTGAACTATTGAGTGCATATGGGATCACCCTTAGCCAGCTGGTGCTCAACGCCATTAGGACCATAGTGGCGATGCTGGTGGTGGCTCAGTTCCAGGGGTGGAACTGACGCCGAAGCTCTTCCAAGCACTGTTTGTGCCAAGGAAGCACTCTTCCGAAGACGGCATGTACTACCTTCAACCCCGTAGGACCAAGTCAGTAGACAACCCCTCTTCCATGCATAACTGGAAGGTAAATTTTTCTTTTTCTCCTGTTTGAAGGGCTGGTCCTTCAAGTTGGGGTGGGGAGAGGTTACCCAGGCTACGTAGAAGAATGTCCCCCTGCTCATGAGTGAGGAGAACGATGATCTCACGCGGTTGCTCAACCAAGGGAGAGTCCGAGCCCAGCCTTTGGTGGAGGAGGAGGTCCCACTAGTCTTTGCGGGGCTCAACCCTGCTTCCCTTGGTAGGAGAGGCCCTATAGTCCCTTAACACGTTCCCTCGTCCTCTTCTTTGCATTGCGTTACTACCGGCTTTACTTTGTTTGTAGAGGTGTCGATGGACACCCAAAAGGCCGTGATAGAACGTGCCCGCACAATGCAGGAGTGAGCGAAAACACCTCAGAGACCTTCCGATGGGGTACTAATGCCAAAGGAGAAGGTCCCTGCCCCTATGAAGGGGGGGTCCTCTCGCCAGGTCCCCGCTAAGGGGACAGTTTCACAAGTCCCGGCCAAAGGGACTACTCCCGCAGCTCCCACAAATGGAGCAACCGCACAGGTCCCCACTAAGGGAAAGAGGCTCGTTGAGGAGGGCCAGACGCGGCATGAACAACAAGTGCCGCCGAAGCTAACCAATGGGTCGAAGAAGCCCGCCCAGAAGACCGAGGTGGGGCAAAAGAGGCCGACCGAGGAGGCCGTGGGGGATTAGCCGCCGCAGAAGGCGGTCCACGTCGGGATCTCAGTGGGGGATGCCCCAAGGGGTCGCATAAAGAATGGATGGGGCTGTTTTTTGCCCCCACGCCCCTGGAGGAGCTCACCGAGCGATCCAACCAGATCTTCCGTCCCTAGTGGAACGTCCGCGATGGGGACTCCATCTGCGAGGAGGGGGTTGGTCAAGCCCTAGTGAGCGGGGCCCTTCTCCCAAGGGATCGCTTTCAGATGTTGGGGAGCACTCCTGAGAAGGTCTACACCTAGGTTCGGGGACCATAACCTTCTTGAGGACAAGGTCTCCTTTTTGATAGTGTCTTTCCTTTACCCTGGAGTTGTAGTAGCGGGTCGCT